AATAGATCGTATTTAACAAACAAAAATTTCGAAAAAATAGAAAAGTAGACAACAAATCGGAATCTGTTAAGAATAAATAAAAGCCAACAAAAAACATCGAAAGGAACAAGGTAGTAGCAGAAGTAAGGAAATTTCAAAATGTTTGAAACATCGCAAACATAATTTATCAAAGTAGATAGTACTGTATTATTATTTATTATTATCCCTGTTTTTTATAGCGTTCTCCGCCTTCCGGTTCCCAGTTTCCAGCTACGTCGGTCATTCCATTCGCCAGGGTGAAGGTCTCTTTCCGACATTGCCTTCTGAATGCCGCCCAGCCAGGATTGTTTTGGCCTTCTTCTCTTCCTTCTTTCCCTTGGCGTCCATTTTAAAATTTTGTTTGGCAGCCTGTCGTCGGCAGATAGTACTGTAACTAATTTAAAATAGCAGGGTTCTATTTACACGGGAAAGTATGATTGGATTATAAAAATTATGTAATCTATAGTGGAGAAGTAAACGATGGGAGGGAGAAAAATAATATACCAACAGAAGAAGAAGTTGTCAAGGCAATAAAAAGGTTAAAAAACAACAAATCCCCTGGTGAAGATCATATACCCTCTGAGCTGTTCAAGTATGGAGCAAACGCCCTAAAAAAATACATAATAAAACTTATTGCATTCGTTTGGAGAGAAGGAAAACTCCGTTGGAATCCGACAGTTGGAATATAGATATTATAATACCTATTTACAAGGAAGGGGATCCACTAATATGTGACAACTATCGAGGCATTACCCTCTTAAATAAGGCTTACAAAGTACTGGCTTATATACTTTATGATCGTTTACTAGTATATACTGACGAAAAAATAGGCAAATAGCAATGTGGATTGCGAAAAGAAAGGTCAACAATTGATTAGATTTTCCTTCTCAGACAAACCTTAGAAAAGACATATGAATATGTAATTGATACCCATCACCTCTTCATAGATTTTAAAAGTGTATATAAAACATTGGTAAAGGCAACTCTTTCGAAAGTTGAGTGCAAAGTTAAGGTACAAAAGAGAGTGTCAAGGTCCTTTCAAACACATACTGGATTACGCCAGGGAGGCAGTCTATCGTGTTTGTTGTTTAACATCGCGCTAGAAAGAGCCATAGAGAAATCGGGCATAACAACCAGAGGTACCATCATCAATAGAATAGAAGTGTACAGATATTGGCCTACGCAGATGACATTGACATAGTAACACAGAAAAAAAAAACGAGACCTGATACAGGCTTTTGAAACATTAGAAAAAACCGCGAAGACAATGGGACTGCAGGTTAACGTATCCAAAACAAAATACATGAAGGTCACGAACAGCACACAAATAGCGGCACCACAAGATCTGGTGACAGAAGTACACACATTCGAAGGGGTCTCAAAGTTTATCTTTCTTAGAACACAACTAAATAACAGCAACCTAGTAAGCGTAGAAATTAAGAGAAGAATATACCTGGCGAACAGAGCTTACTCTGGACTAATGCAGTTCTTAACATTGTAACCGTTTCAAAAGTTTTAGAAAATTCATTATAAATTCAATTATTTTTTTAAATAAAACTACTAAACCCATCTATCTGCCGGGTACTTGTAGCCGACTCAAGGATTCTTCTGTAATTTCCAAACATATCCGGTAGATGAAAACGTTCATTAACTTGTCACTCATGCCCCCTTTTCTCTTAAAACGTCCAACCGTTAAGACGTGTTTCCGAAGTGGGTCTCTGTAGAGGTAAGCTGAAAAAATCCTTTTCTTGTCCATATTTTCAGATAGATATTTATTTTTAGACCCTTATTGGAGAGGCTAGAATGAAGTCGTACCAATGGTTTCATTTGGTTAACTAATAGTGAAAAGAAACAGAACATATCCTTTTTCTTCATAGTTACCAGCTATTGGATAATTCAGGTTGTACCAATTTTTATTATATCTTCTATCAAGAAAGCGAGAAATAATTATGACCTCAAAGAATGAAAATATGGTGAAGCGTTTTAATTTTATTTAAAGGTTTAATTTCTCTATTATTCCTAGTTGATAAATAACTATATTATTTTGAATGTAAACAAATTTCGAAATTTGGGGTTAATATATACATTCATTTTTTTTTATAACTAATTATTAATTTAATACGATACAAAGTTTTTTTGTTTATGGTAATGTAAGCATAAAATGGTATTTTGGTATCCTTTTGGGATAACGTAACTTTTAATGTTTTCTTTTTGTTCATGACTAAGAAATAATAAAGTATAGTTTTCTTGTAAACTTTCTATTAATCTTAATTTTTTTCTTTGCTCGCCCCCTTCGAGGATAAACCAGGGGTGGCGTCCAATAATAAATTATAATTTCATATTATCTAATTGTGCTTGGATTTAAGATATGATACAGTTTCTATATATTTTAACGGAACCCCTCCAACTCTCTCTGCGACAATGAGTGTTTCTGGCCTTGAATTTAATTTGTGCGCCAAATGTTTATTAAGCATCTACGCTACAACATCACACATAATTAGCAGAAAAACCAAGATACTTATATATGAAACTCTTATAAACCTGTCCTGATATACGCGTCAGAGACTTGGACTATGGTAAAAAGCGACGAAGAACTGTTAGGCCGCTTTGAAAGAAGAATACTTATAAGGCACATATATGGAGGAGTACAAGAAAGCGTGATATGGCGCAGGGGCTACAATTTTGAGTTGTATCAATGCTATAAAAAATGCAACATCGTTCGGCCTATTAAAATTAATAGGCTAAGGTGGCTAGGACACCTTGAAAGAATGGACACTGGAGACCCCCAAAGACAGATATTCTATCAAGAGCCAGTAGGAACCAGGAAGAGAGGCAGGCCAAGATCTAGATTCAAAACTCAAGTCGAAGATGACTTGAGGAATCTAGGGGTGAGAAATTGGAAAGCCAGGGCGAAAGATAGGGGGGAATGGAGACTAATTCTTGAACAGCCAAGACCCACCCAAGGTTGTAGAGTCAAAGATGATGATGAAAAAAAGATATTCTTTATAAAAAGCTCTACTTATTCTAAAACCTAAAATGCAATCCAAAAAAACAATAAATCTCCAGGAAGTGATGGTATACCCTCGGAACTTATTAAATGTGGAGGTGCTACTGTGACTAATCAAATATATAAAATAATACTGAGAGCCTGGAATGAGGAACAAATCCCGGAAGAGTGGTATATTGGAATCGTTTGCCCGCTACACAAAAAGGGTGACCAATTGGAATGTAGAAACTATAGGGGAATAACCCTCCTTAATACAGCATACAAAATATTTTCGAGGATCTTATAATATGGTCGCCTAAGTGCATATTCAGAGGAACTTCTCGGGGAATATCAAAGTGGCTTTAGGCCTGGTCGATCAACAACAGATCAGATCTTTGTGCTAAGGAAAATACTGGAAAAAACCAATGAATTCAATATCGATACATACCATCTTTTTGTAGACTTCAAATCTGCCTATGATAGTGCCCTAAGAAATAAATTGTATGAAGCAATGAATGAATTCCACATCCCCGATAAACTGATAAGATTGGTTAAGGCTACAATGCGTAATGTGGTTTGCAAAGTCGAAATACAGGGCGAACAATCGCAGGCGTTTGGAACGCATGTTGGGCTGCGACAGGGAGACGCGAATAGACAACAGAGGAAATATTTTTAATAAATCATCCCAAATTTTGGCATATGCAGATGATGTGGACCTAGTTGCCCGCACAACACACAAGCTAGAAGAAATGTATACCACCTTCTCAAATTCCTCAAAATCTATGGGCCTGCAAGTAAATGAGGAGAAAACTAAGATGATGGCATTAACACCCAACAATAGAGTCAGGAACATCGGTCCCCAATTCACAGTTGATAACTCTACCTTTGAAGTGGTGTACAAATTCACATACTTAGGCTCCCTGATCACCAAAGAGAACGCCATAACGGAAGAAATCAAGCGAAGGATAATAATGGCAAACAGATGCTATTTTGGACTGAGTAGACATATGAGAAGTAGAAACTTAAGCCAAAAAACAAAAATAACCATATACAAAATCCTTATAGAGCCAGTGTTGACATATGGATCGGAGAAATGGACCATCTCCAAGGCAGACGAAGACCTTCTGCTTATATTTGAACGAAGGATCCTGAGAGGAATATTTGGTGGCATCTGTGAAAATGGTGTTTGGAGGAGGAGATACAACTACGAGGTATACCACAGATATAAACAAATATTTGGTGATAAAGACGTAGTATCTCTTATAAGAATAGGAAGACTAAGATGGGCAGGACATCTAGCAAGATCACAGCAGAACAGCCCTCCTAGAAGAATCCTTATCAGAGAACTACGAACGCAGTTCTCTGCTCGTTCGTAGTTCTCTGTCCTTATCTCACAACCCGTGGGAAGTAGAAAAAGGGGCAGGCCAAAACTCAGATGGAAGGATGGTGTAGATGAGGATGGTAGAAAGATAGGCGCAGCAAACTGGCAACGGTTGGCAATGGATAGGACTGCCTGTCTTAATAAACTTGGGAAGGTCGAGGCTCTTTCATAGGGCTGTAGCACCATTGATGATGATGATGAAAATGAAATCATCAAATATTAATTTTTTTCAGTCATACACTTGATTTGTCAAAAAATATTAATTTTGTATATTGTTTTGAAAAAATTCATATTTTGTGACAAACCACGTATATGACTGAAAAAAGATTCTAAATTCTTAAGATAGGCAAATTACTGAAGGGCTGGAATGAAATATGAATTCATTTTTTATAATTCTGAATTAAACTAGCAGGAAAAGAAAACCTATTAAAGTTAGCATGGATTATCGCAACCACATATTTTTATTTTTTTTTTAAATCGTGCTCCATCCTGATCCTCTCGTCGCTTTAAGGCCTTGCGTACAAAATCGATATCATCTCAGCAGTGGGCTTGACAACAGGGCGGGCGGCCTCATCTCCGATATTTTCCGAAAACAGTTTATAATTACCGTTAAAAATGTTGCTTAAAGTTGTAATTTACGGTTTGATTTGTTGTTGCTTTTTAACTTTTTTGAAAGCAAATCCAAGAGATTGGCCCAATCCAACGGTTTTTAACATCGGAGGAGTTCTTAGCAGCAATGAGAGTGAAAAATATTTTCAGGAAACTATTGCGGTAAATATTTTCATTATTAATATTTTTTTAATATACTGAGAGATTCCAAAAAAAAACTCAAACTTTTTATTACAGTAGATTGGATACTGTCATGTTTAGTTGGATACTGCTCTAGATCATTTTTAGATACCAGTCCTCTTTGTTACAGTATTATTATATGGTAAAATTAGTTGAACTCTTTCTTTTTGGCATATTGTTTACTCGTTGTTGGTGATGAACTTATCTATTGTAGATCATAATCCCATTTCTCTATGCTTTAAGATCTTCCGCTAAATGTTTAATTTATTTAAAACTTTTACTTGGTCCTAGTTCTTCTTTTCCCTTTTCCGCTCTCTTTCTTTCTGTTTCTTTTTATTTTATCCATTATTTTAGCTTCTACCAGTAGTTTAATTTTGAATATCCTTACAATATGTTTAAACCATTCAAGTTGTTGTATTTCTATTTTGATTATATCTTCTTGTTGTGCCATTCTTTTAATATCAGAATTTTTCTGTCTGTCTCACTTTGTTTCTCTTTCAGTCTTTCGCAAAAATTTCATTTATCAAGTGATCATCATATTAAGTGATCAAGTGATCATCACTTGAGAAAGGCAATCAACCGAAACAGCTGTAGTGATAAGAGTTAAAATAAATTTTGTGGAAGTTTGAAAACAAAGTTTTCAGTGTTTTATTATTACAATTACCTTTAACATCTACAGTAGAAGGCTTAAGGACTAATTTTAAGCAAGATACGGTTCTTCACAGTTTTCTACTTTTAACGATTTTTGCTATTTACGACAAAATGCAACGATTGCAAATGAAAGCAATACCCTTCACCTTTAAAACCCATGTTAATTTTTGTCGAAAGGACATTCTGTTTAGAAACTATCGAATTTTAACCGTCGAGTTGATACAAATTTTATTAAAAAAAAAGTGGAACAGTAGGCGGCACTGTAGACTAGAGCAAAGCTACATGCTATGTTTTCTGTATTTTTAAAATTTAAATAATATATCTAAAATTAAATAAAGTAATTTTATTGTTTATTTATTATTTTATATTTAAAACCAATTCAATAAATTATTATGTTTGCTTCTAACATCACCTGTTAACGTATTAACAAAACATACGTCGTTTGCTTATGAGAAACCTGTCAAGTTCAGACCAAATTTAATAATAAAATATAAATAAATATCATTGCCTTTCCGCTATCATTCGCCCATTCTCTCTGCCACTCTACTATCGTTCTTTCTCCCTCATTCTAATATATATTTACATCCATCCTCCTCGCATACATCCTCGCTCGCTCTTTGCACAACAAAGCGATCGGCATCACCGCTGCAATGACATACAGAGCCTCATTTGAAACCGTCCTGTATGCGCTAGATACCCTGAGGAGCATTCTCCTTTGCTGAGTCTCCATCAGCTTAACATATTTCGCAGTGTTCAGTACGCTACACCACACGGGGGCAGCGTAGGTTACCACCGACTGGAAAACTCCATTTAGCACCCTTCTTTTGGTGCTACCTCCAATGTTTGGCATCATCCGTATCAACGCCTCCAGATTTTGGTTCGCCTTCTCTACCGTGTTTGGATGTGTTCTCCGAACCTCAGTCCTTCCGACAACCAGACTCCCAGATACTTAATCGATTTACCGGTTGCAACCTATTAGTTGAAATATATATTTATTTAGTTGTTCATTGAGTGGCAAGACTACCTTGAACGGTGGTTAAGGTTTTAGCCGGAACACGGTTAATCCGACACTACACTACTAGTACCCTACTTGGCCGAAAGATACCAGGGTATCTTGCTCCGTGACGTGAGATGCCCAAACAAGATTTCCCCCACCGTTGCCTGTCAGAATTCAATGGATACCTTCTTAGGCTCTTACTGGAATCTGATAATACGGCAGTTAAAAAAAGTAATATGTTTCAAAATAGTAATTGTATTTAAATGAAATTATTTTAAAACGAGAATTATTATAAAAAATTAAACAGATGATTCAATGTTGTTAATAATCGGATGACATTTATGACTTCACGGCGTAAAAATTTCATCATTTCAGGTTCAATCCGATCTACTCCACAAGCTTTTCTTATTTTTATTTTCCCTTCCTTGAAATTTTATGTTTCTTCTGTTGTGTATAAATGGAGATTTATTATTTGTTAAAATGCTACAAATTTTGATTTTGTCTTTTGTATTTCAGCATTTAAACTTTGATTCGCAGTATGTTCCAAAAGGCGTAACCTACTACCACACAGCTATATTAATGGATCCAAACCCTATCCGCACTGCCCTGAATGTGTGCAAATACTTGATATCTAGAAAGGTAATGTATTGAATAGCTTATAAAATCGTTTTACTACAACAAAACAAAATAATACTTTATATCAGTATAATTATAATTTTAACTAATAAGGTAAGTTTCATAGAAGTATTTCTTCTATCAGTTCTAAAAATAAACCCAATCTAAAATTTATGATTTGAAACAGTTCTTTCACATTAATTTTATATTTTTTTCCAAATTCAAGTATAACTGTAAAAGTGTTTGTCCAAAAAACTCGTTTTCAAATGAAGTTTCAAAAGTATTCCAAAGTCTTCAACTGTTAAATAAATGGCTATTTTCTAAGGTGTGAAAGTATATTTTTATATTCTAATGATCTGTTGTAAACCTCAACAATTTTGTACATTAAAAAACATCGTTAAACTAACTTTGTTAGACACTTCTGATATCGATGAAACCTGATGATGGTGAAGGAGCTCTTCATGCTTAATTGTCTTGGAGCACGATCAAGTGGACGCTAACATCGGCTCAACTCTGGGTTCCAGGCGACATACAGATTTCATTAGCTTTTCTTTGTATGCATGGTTTTGCTGATAGTTAACTTTTCTAGCATCTCGTAAACAACAGACTAGGAAAAAAATTCAGCTTTTCGTATGTAAGAAGGATCATATATTTTAACGTAAAATAAATCTGAATGGGAAAATACGCTACTTAAACGCTAATCGTTAAACGAAGAATTCCATGTTTAAAAACGTTCACTACACAAACCGACTTTCTGATGTTGTGAAGGATACAACGGCGAGATTTGACAAGTTGGTATACAGATCTCTTCACAAAGGATATTGAAGTTACAAAGAAAGAAAAAAGTGAATCGTACTAGCTGAAAGAGAAGTAGATAAAAATTGAACTAAATAAAAAGGAAAAAGGGCGCCACCTTTTTTTCTCTGAATGATAAGAAGAACTCAGTATCTTATATTAGAGCAGAGGTTCCCAACCAGTGGTGGTACGCGTTTCCCATTTCAGGTGGTACGTGTCGTGTGGGAGAAACAAGCGATTACGTTGGGCCTCTGTCTGCGGAAGTGCCAGTGCAGTCTGTCGGGTCGGGTGCTGCTGGCTGACTCGACTGTGCCTGCATTCCTTGCTGTTCCTTGCTATTCCACTCATCTATAAAGAATTTTTTGGCAATATACTGTGCTGGGGCTTCACTCTTATTCTTTCCTTCTGCGGTCACCAGTTTGCATCAAGCAGTGTGGTCGATTACATCTTGTGTTAAGCATGCCTAACTGTAGTGTGTGATTTGTTGTGCTTCCAAATTAAACTATGAAGCGATTTTTTGTGAACCCTGGGACTTTTAGTTCTAGTTTTTCAATCTTTAGTAATCTTAAAGCATGTCTTGCTCTTTTTATATATTACCTCTTAATTAATTAGTTAATTAGTTAATTAATTAATTAGTTTTGATAATTATTTTATAAGCTAATGCTTCGAAATAATTAAAAATGGGTCATAAATATCGATTTTTCGATCGAAGCTAATATGTAATATATATAAAAATGCGACAAGCTCGATACAACTACACGCTAACAGAAACCAAACAAAAATCCAAAGAGGTATCTGACAAGGTGATACGTTGTCACCTAAACTTTTCATATCGGCTCTAGAGAAAGGGATCAAACCCCTCGAATGAATGTGGACAGAGAGATGCTACACCACCTAAGCCACGCAGACGATATAGTCCTGATTGCAGACGATTTGGGAAAAACAAAGAAAATATTGTAAGAACTTAGTACAGCCTGTCATAAAATAGGTTTAAAAATGAATAAAACAAAAACAAAATATATGACGAACTTAGTACCAAGTAAACACCTTGAAATACAAAATGAAGAAATAGAATTGGTAGACAAATATATATATATCTGGGTCACGAAATTAAGATAAGTAAGGACCGAAGTATTCTTCTTCTTAAGGTTCCATCTTCTAACGAAGGTTGGATATCAACATGGCAATTCTTATTTTACTTACAGCAGCTCTAAATAGTTGGCTAGAGCTCAGACTAAACCATTCCCTTAGATTTCGTAGCCAGGAGGTTCGTCTTCTTCCTACATCTCTTTTACCTTTTATTTTGCCCTCTATAATCAAACGTAGTAGCCCATAACGAGGACCTCTTAATATATGACCGAAATATTCAAGTTTCCGCCTCTTAATTGTCTGTACAATTTCTTCCCTCTTATTAACCCTATCAAGGACTTCAATATTGGTAATTTTGTCTACCCATGCTATTCGTAGCATCCTTCGATAACACCAACGCTCAAAAGCTTCCAATTTCTTAATCTCCAGTTGTTTCAATGTGCATGCCTCAGATCCGTAGAGCAAAGTTGTAAAAATGTAGCAGCGCAATAACCTTATCCTTAGATCCATTCTTAGGTCTCTACTACACAATAGATGTTTCATTTTTACAAATTTTGCCCTTGCTATTTCTATACGGCTTTTAATCGACCGAAGTATCCAGAAGAATAATACAAGGATGGGCAGCATATGGAGCTCTTAGGAACGTTTTTAAGAGTGACATCCCAACTAATATGAAGAAAAAAGTTTTAGACCAATGCGTGCTACCTGTGATGATCTATGGTGCAGAAACATTATCGCTCACAAAAAAAAACGCACAAAAACTAAGAGTAGCGCAAAGAAAAATGGAGCGATCAATGATAGGGGTCACTATGCGAGACTAGATTAGAAACGAAGATCTACGAGCTAAGACCAAAATCATAGACGTCATTGAAAGAAGCTGTAACTTAAAATGGGCTGTACACGTTGCCAGAATGAAGGACGGAAGATGGACTCGCAACCTAGTTAAACGGAGACCAAGAACCGATAAATGTAGCAGAGGAAGAACACCAACACGATAGCAAGACAACTTACGAAAGACAACAAAAAACTGGATACAGTAAGCACAAGATAGACCACTTTGGAGACAAACAGGGGAGGCCTATGTCCAGCAGTGGATTGAGAGAGCCTGATGATGATAATGATGATAAATATCGATAAAAAATTATTTTTATCTCCATTTATATTCTATTTTGTTATATAGGTATATGCCGTCGTTGTTTCTCATCCGTTAATAGGCGATCTATCCCCAGCTGCAGTGTCATATACAAGTGGATTCTACCATATACCGGTTATCGGCATATCGTCTAGAGATTCAGCATTTTCTGATAAGGTAAGTTAAAGAAATAGTTCATATTTATGTAGAATCCGAGAAGTAGAATCACTTTTAATTATTATTATGAATTCTTTTCCATAGACAAGACAGTTTCAGCATAGTGTTTGCACTATACACATATACGTATTTCTTCCTATCAGGATTCCTCAGAGTGACTATGTAGAAGTTCTACATCTCTATGCTACATAGTGACTCTAAGGAGTCACTATGTAAGGAGTCTGAAGGAGTCCTTACATAGTGGAAGGAGTCCTGAAGCACAAATTTGGGCAATTATCTGAATTTTGGTTTCCAAAACTAAGAAATCAGTGGATTTCGACAGTTTGTTAATTCTTTTTTAATATTGTACTGAATTAATTTTCTTATTACCATTTTTATTAAGAATTTAAGTTTAAAATAAGTTTATTTTTGATGTTTCAATTTCCACTTCGGAAATCGTTCTCAAGATATAAAACATTTTTAATAATGTTTTGTATTTTGAGAAAGATTTCCGAATTGGAAATCGTTCTTAAAATAAACTTGATTACTTTATTCATCAAACTCTATATCACACTTTTTTATATTTAGATTCAACGAAAATGTTGAGATTTACTTTGCTTGGGTCAAACTATTTTGCCTACTTTTTAGTAAAAATTATGCTTTCAAAAATTTATAATACCTATCTCGCAAGTTTATTGATATCTGCTTTTATTGCTCTAAAATACTCATTCAAATGTACCATTTTTCTCCGTTTTCGGTTATTTCTCCAATTGTTTATATCATTCACGAATTAAAAAAATAATTTAATCTTTTATTTTTAGAATATACATGTGTCATTTTTAAGAACCGTTCCTCCATACTCCCATCAAGCTGATGTATGGGTAGAAATGTTAAAGCATTTCAAATACAAAAAGGTAATATTTATTCATAGTTCTGATACAGATGGAAGAGCTTTGTTAGGACGCTTCCAGACTACTTCCCAAAGTTTAGAAGATGATGTGGATATTAAAGTCCAGGTAAGGAATTTACTCATGCACATTCTTTACATTGGGTTTAGAATCTTGGAAATACAAGTTAAAGTTATCTGTTACATAATATATCAGTTAAGAACATATGTGAACTATTTTTAATTATTGGGAAGTTTACTTTCTCAACAATGTTCTTCATAGTCCTGGTAGATCACTGACAGTTATAAGTTTCTTGTGCCATGATGTTTGACTCTGTGTTGGCATCTTCTAATTTGAATATATATTTAAATCATATCATATTATTCTTCGTCTCATTGTATCTTAGAATCTTACAATTTACTGTCATGTTTGTTACGGTTTATTGAATGCAAAGATGTTATAAAGAAAATTTTTTATCTGCGTTAGTGTATCCAACATCTACTAAGAAATAGAGAAGTCTTGGGAATACTTTAATATTGAGAAGAACTTAAAACTTTAAGTCTTAGATAACAAAGATATATTACAGTAAATGGTACAAATATTCAAAACAGCATCCTAGACCAAATTTCGAGTTTTGTAAGAGTGTAATTGATGTAAAGTAGTAAGTGATGGCGAGTACACTGTTCATCTGTACTATTTACGCAGTAAACAATGTACTAGTGAAGCAATATGGGAACTAAGAAGACTATGTCCCAGAAAGTCATGATGAAGACTTCAGCAATAGAGTCGAAAGCTTGATGTAGCAAAATCCGACGCCGTTTAACTCAGAAACTGCAGTGGTGCCATAAATAAGACGAGTAGGATCAGGAATGAATCGGAAACCTATTTAGTAATGAATTTTTATTCTATTGGTTAACGATGGACGAAGATGAGATAACGTAACGTTATTTTTGCTTACCAGAGGATTTATGGTTTGGGCTGCCATAACATATGAAAGTAGGTCCCCTCTATTATTTCTGGAAAGAAACATAAATATTCAGCGTTACATTCATATTGTCTTGGAACCCATACAGTGTCGCATTAAGAACTAGAAAATCCTATTTTATAGTAGGATAATGCCAAGCCCCACCCCGCAGCTAAACACTTAAGAGTTTCTTCATTAAGCTAACATCACCGTTCGTGGATGATCCGCAACATTTGCGGACATGTGTGGGATATGATATAGAATAGGCAAAAGATTGTCGATTTCACCGGTATATTCGTTTTCTTCACTAATTCTGAATGCGATCTAGAATGCATCATAGAGTAGAGGAGCTCATTGCTTATAAACTATTTTTCTCTAAAAATCTATTCTTTTACATTACATAATCCGACTTATACATGAACTTGGTGAGTGAGTGGAAGGTCAAACACAGGCTCGTAGTATGAGAGGTCGGATTTTTAAACACCAGAACTTTTTAGTTTGCAATCTACTTATTCAAATTATTGAAGATCTATATCCTCTAATTCATTTTTGTCTTTAAGGTGGAGTCCGTAATTGAATTTGAATCAGGATTGGATAGTTTTCGAGATCAATTATTGGAGTTAAAAAACGCTCAATCCAGAGTATATTTAATGTATGCCAGGTAAGTCAAGATAACATTCACGTTCAGTTTTGAACAGTCTTCACACCTTGTATTTACGCCTAACTAATATTTTACTAATATTTTATTGCTTTTAATATTTCGTTTTTTGGATAAGAATTCATTCTGTCTCTCATTCTGTAATAATAACTTGAAACTTCAACTTCGAAAGCGTATGGTTAAATGCTACATTTGGTCAGTCCTCTTATACGGTGTCGAAGCATGGACATTAAAAATATCTACCATCAATCATCTGGAGGCCTTTGAAATGTGGCTGCACAGACGTATACTAAAAATTCCATGGACGGCTATGCTGACAAATGTGGCAGCATTGTCAGCATAGACAATGCTGCTCTGCGAGAGAGCAAATGCTGCTCGCGAGCTGCTTGATAACATCAAATCTAGAAAGATGGCCTATTTTGGACACGTAGTAAGGGGAGACCGATATAATATTCTTCAACTTATTATGATGGGTAAAATCGAAGGACGCAGAGGAATTGGTAGAAAGCAGGCCTCTTGGTTGAAGAATATCAGAGAGTGGACAGGAATAAAGAAAGCTGAGCAACTCTTTAGAATAGCTCGAGATAGAGACAGTTTCGCCATGTTAATCGCCAACGTCAAGGGGAGTTGATAGGGCACGTTAAAAAGAAGAAGGATAAGAATTCACTGTATAACATAAATAAAATCAGACTACGTATGATCACAGAGGATAATTTTATATATCGGTACAGAGAAAACCGACCCAGATAAAAGAACTTACAGTTCTAGAATAATTTCTCCCCTAAAAATATCTTTTTTGTTGAGATGTTATTATTATATACATGATTTTTTGATGATATTTTCTAAAATCTATACTTTTTAACTTGAATAGACATATTAAAGTATATTAAACGACAAATGTATGACACCCTTAATCCAGCTTTGTTTGCTTTTTAAAAATACGTACAAACCACAAAAATTTGTATGACCTCAAATTTGCTAGGAATAATAATTTACCATTCTGTAATTTGACAAAACCACGAAAGATTTAAAGTATGTAGCTTTTATCATCATCATCATTGGTGCTACAGCCCTATAAAAGAGCATCGCCCTTTCCAAGTCTATTACGCCAGTCAATTCTATCCATTGCCAACTGTTGCCAGTTTGCTACGCCTATTTTTCTACCATCCTCATCTACACCATCCCTCCATTTGAGTTTTGGTCTACCCCTACTTCTACTTCCCACAGGTTGTGACATGAGGATTCTTCTAGGAGGGTTGTTCTGCTTTGATCTTGCCAGATGTCGTGCCTATCTTAGTCTTCCCATTTTTATAAGAGATACTACGTCTTTACCACCAAATATCTGTGATATATCTCGTAGTTGTACCCCCTTCTCCAAACATCATTTTCACAGATGTCACCGAATATTCTTCTCAGGATCCTGCATTCAAATATAAGCAGGAGTTTTTCATCTGCCTTGGAAATGGTCCATGTTTCCGATACATATGTCAACACTGGTTGTATAAGGGTTTTGTATATGGGTATTTTTGTTTTTTTTTGGCTTAATTTTTTGCTTCTCATATGTCTACTCAGTCCAAAATAACATTTGTTTGCTAGGATTATTCATTCTTCTCCTTGGTGATCAGGGAACCTAAGTATGTGAGTTTTTCCACCACTTCAAAGGTAGAGTTATTAACCGTGAATTGGTGGCTGATGTTTCTGGCTCTAGGGTTGGATCATTAAGTAAAAAAATCAGAGTCTTGCAAAAACCCCAAAATACTGAATATTTACTTACAACTCACATTTCTTGAGCAGTCCAGTTATCAGAGATTTGACGTCCAAAAATCATACAACGCTTGAAGCAACCGGTGATTTTGAATATCAGTTACGCGGGCGAAATAAATTTTAAATAAAATTTGTATCAACCCGACGGTAAAAATCGATATATTTTGATCAGAGTGTCCTATCGAGAAAAATCAAAATATATTTTAAAGATAAAGAACACAGCTTTCGTAAGCATTTTTATATTCTGCTTCAAATGAAGTCTTCCACTTTAAATTTTTTTCAGCAAAAATGACGCGAAAGTTATATTCAGAGATGCCTCAGCATTCAACATGACAGATGCGGGATTTGCTTGGATTGTAACCGAACAAGCTTTAGAAGCTGATAATATTCCTGAAGGAATATTAGGGTTAAAACTTGTCAACGCCACCAACGAGAAAGCTCATATCAGAGACAGCATGCAAGTAATTACAATTTATTCCTATTATTTGTTTTAATATGAACATTTTTTAGATACGTTTTAGCTTCAGCTTTGAGAGATATGAATCAAACGAAAGAAATCACCGAAGCCCCTGAAGATTGCGACAATTCGGGATCTATTTGGGATACAGGGCGAGATCTATTTAATTTCATTCGGAAACAAGTACTAATCAATGGTGAAACGGGCAAAGTTGCTTTTGATGATCAAGGTGATCGAATTAACGCTGAATATAATATTGTGAATATACAGAGAAAGAAGAAGAAAGTGGTTGTTGGAAAATATTTTTTCAATAAGGTAATTCTAGTTAATTTTTTTTGCATTACTCTAGCCTTAACACAATTAAAACAACAGAATATTGGAGGATGCTCTAAACCAAGGCAATTAAACTCAGGTTTTATGTAGAATCCTTAACAAGTCTACAATTTTTCTTAAATGGTAATGTTGCATCACTTCGTAGTCAAGTAGAAGAAATAATAACGCAACAAAATGTAATGTTAAACTGTAAATTTTATTGTAGACACTTTCTTTTTATATTTCTCTAGTCTCTTTTGCTTTTTTACATACAAATTTAACCAGGTGGCTGGTTCATATCCGGCTCGAAGGACCAATGGGATATTCGAATGTAATTATAAGTTCTAATGGTTTTTAATGCTCTATGTCCTATTCTTCTCGATCGACGATAATAAAATAAAATGTTGAAGTCGTGGAGTAAAATATAGTTTTATTAACAGCTCCTGAATTATTACACTGTAGTTGTTGTTAAGGTGAAGTTGTATTGCCCTTTACATAGGACAAAAACCTTTGACTTTTGAAAGCTGGCAAATATAATTTGAACCGAGGAAATAAATGCAAGCATTCCCTAAATACATATCATGCAATCTATAGTTTGCAGGAAGTTGAACAAACTGTAATTAAGCTACTAATCGATATCTTTCATAATTATACACGGTGAAACTATAAAAATTCAGGAAATTAAGATTCATGTGAGATTACAAGTTAATTTGTGATTGAACACGTATATTCTTGCTAACACCCTTGCTAATTCAACTCCCGCTTAGCAATTAACTACTCCACAGTATCTTCTCACCCTTCTTTAGTAGGTACATACATCATTCGTCAGACACAATGACATTGAATCGTTATTTCAAACTTCGCACGCACATACATTGTGTTGACAATCTGGAAACCAGACAGAGCGACGACAAACTGTGGAAAGTTCGACCAGTTTTTGAATCAGTCCTAAAGAGATGTAGAGAACTGCATATAGAAACAAATATTTGTATAGACGAACAAATCATGCCTTTCAAAGGAGATTGTCTATAAAACAATACATCAAAAATAAGCCTAATCCATGGGGAGTGAAACTGTATTTATTAGGTGGTGAAAGTGGACTAATTTACAATGTTCTAATCTATCAAGGTAGTACCACAGAAATAGAACCTTCCAATTTGAAATATGGACAATGTGCAGCTATCGTATTGCAATTAACAAAAGGACTTGAACCTAATAAGCATGCATTGTACTGTGACAATTATTTTACGAGCTATAATCTTTTACAAATTCTCAACCAAAAATCAATACTTATTGCTGGTACTGCGAGGATCAATAGATTTTCTAAACCACCTTTAACTGATGTAAAAGATTTTTCAAAAAACCAGAGAGGATCAACGGAACAAATTATCTCTTCTGATGGAATTGTAGTAACCAGATAGTTAGATAACAAGTCAGTGATAATGGTATCCAACTTCGTTGGGGTTGGTACAGAAGATGTTGTAAAACGTTGGAATAAACAAACAAAATGTTTCATTGACGTAAGTCGACCCGAAGTTATACAAAAGTATAATAAGTCCATGGGTGGCATAGATAAAACAAATGCTCTTATTGCGTTTTACAGAGTAAAAAACCGTTGCAGAAAGTGCAACGGACTGTTCGACTAATCTTCCATGCAGTTGACATGGCCCTAACAAATTCATGGTTAGAATATAAAAAAGATATGCATACTTTAGGAATTCCAAAAAAAGATATCATGGACCTTCTACACTTTAGGATGAAAGTTGGTGAAGCCCTCATAAAAGTCAACTCTTTCAATAACCGAAAACGGGGAAGACCTTCAAGCGGTACATCTAGTCCAGTAGTAGCTGAAAAACGCCAAAACATTGAAATTAGACCTCTTACTGAGGTGCGATTAGATAACATTGGACATTTCCAGAGCACTTTCAGCTACCTTTACCTTTAAGATGTAAAAACCCTGGTTGTATAGGAAAATCAAGATGGAAATGTTAGAAGTGCAATGTCCATTTGGGCCTCCAAAGGAAAGAAATTGCTTTTTTATGTTTCATATGCGCTAGCTTTTTAGATTTGTTAAGTACTTTTGGGTACAAATGAACCCATAATAAATTGTTTTAAGTACATTTTAACCAAAAAATATTTTTTCGTTCGCTGAAAAAAAAGAGGTACTGAAAAGGTTACACTAAATTTTATGTTCCCATGGTGTGAGTTACTTTTATATTTTTATTAACATAAATCAATTCTAGGAATTAAATAAAATGAATTTAAAAGTGGACGAGAATAGCATCATATGGCCTGGTAGACAAACAGAGAAACCGGAAGGTATTGAAATTCCCACTCATCTGAAAGTGCTAACTATAGAAGAAAAACCATTTGTATATGTAAGGAAACTGACTGAACTGCAAGAAAGTTGCAACCCTGATGAGATCGAATGTCCACATTTTAATTCAACAATAGAAGAAAGTAAGTAGAAAATATTTAATTTTGATAAATCAGTAATAATATAAATGCTTCCTAAGGGAGCTAGAGGTTTTTGAAGATGGCGCCTTGTAAGTAGTTTTGTTTTAATACCTCCAGTCTGGTTCCGGGGCTTTACATTGGTTCTTTGAGCCTTGTTTTCTTTTACAATGGATAGGATGCTAACATCACTCATCAACCTTCCTCTTTTATCCGGGCTTGGAACCAGCTGTGGGCGTAAACGCGGCTTCTGAGCTACTCAAATCACCCAATCCTCGCGCTCATAACATCCAGGCAGAGTTTTAATATAATAATGGACGAAATAATACAAGCAGTACGTAAAGGTCATGATTACAGAATGGGCAACAAAGATATCCAAATATTATGTTATGCAGACAACACCGCCTTAATCGCCGAGTCAGAAGATGGGCTCCAAAAATTAACACACATGTTCAATACAATAGCCAAGAAATACAATATGATAATATCAGCAGAAAAAACCAAATGTTTGACACAAAAACATCTAAATACCCAAGGTTGAGATATTTGGGAATAGATATAACTAGTTATGGAGATGTTGAAGAAAAAGTACCTTAACAAAGCTTAAAAGTAAGTGAAGCGGCGGGATTTTTTAATGACACAATCTGGAAGAACAAACACCTAAGACAAGAAACAAAACAAGAATCCATAAACCAGCAATTAGACCTATATATACACGGCGGAGTATATATGAGTCTTCTCAAATGCCTCAAAATCTATTGGCCTGCAAGTAAATGAGGAGAAAACTAAGATGATGGCATCATTACCCAACAATAGAGCCAGGAACATCGGTCCCCAATTCACGGTTGATAACTCTACCTTTGAAGTGGTTGAGAAATTCACATACTTAGGCTCCCTGATCACCAAAGAGAACACCATAACGGAAGAAATCAAGCGAAGGATAGTAATGGCAAACAGATGCTATTTTGGACTGAGTAGACATATGAGAAGTAGAAACTTAAGCCAAAAAACAAAAATAACTATATACAAAACCCTTATACAGCCAGTGTTGACATATGGATCGGAGACATGGACCATCTCCAAGGCAGACGAAGACCTTTTGCTTATATTTGAACGAAGGATCCTGAGAGGAATATTTGGTGGCATCTGTGAAAATGGTGTTTGGAGAAGGAGATACAACTACGAGGTATACCACAGATATAAACAAATATTTGGTGGTAAAGACGTAGTATCTCTTATAAGAATAGGAAGATTAAGATGGGCAGGACATCTAGCAAGATCACAGCAGAACAACCCTCCTAGAAGAATCCTTATGTCACAACCCGTGGGAAGCAGAAAAAGGGGTAGGCCAAAACTCAGATGGAAGGATGGTGTAGATGAGGATGGTAGAATGATAGGCGCAGCAAACTGGCAACGGTTGGCAATGGATAGGACTGCCTGGCGTAATAGACTTGGGAAGGTCGAGGCTCTTTCATAGGGCTGTAGCACTATTGATGATGATGATACACGGCGGAGACAAGACCTGGCACATCTAAAATGAGATGACTACTAGAAACAACAGAGATGAAAATACTCCGACGAATATCAGGGAGATACTATCCTATGCCTATTCCTTCTTTAACTCATATTCAATATTCTCCATATGTAACTTGTATTGCATTGTATCATTTACTTTTTTCTTGGGCTTACCTAGATCTCTTTACCTTTGTCTTGCTCTTCACTTTTACCAGCCCATTGTTGTGAGATTGATTGTTTTTACACGTGCCTGGCTCAAAGTAGTTTTGGTCACTTCTTTCGTTAAATCTGTCGTTCTGGTCCTGTTTCTGACCTTTCTTTTGATTTAACTGTTATAGCGTTTCATTTCATTCATTGTTCGTACTGGCTATTAAAATTGTCGTCAGCGAATCTGAGATGACTGATTGATGTTAATTTCTTTATTATCCCATCTAGTTGGGGAAAGATGTCTTTTAGGACTACAGTGGATGAGTTTGGGGAGATATTGATACCTTATTGAACTCCTTATTAGATTTATATTTGTATAGGAAAAGTACAATATCTTAATATAATATAAAAACAGAAAGATAAAATTTTAGCTATGACATCTGTATTATCATTATTTTAATTCTGTTTTGTATTAATGGAGATGATATTTATAAGATATAAAAAAGGTACGGATAAGGATTTATAAGTTTTTTAAAAAATCTGCTCCATTAGACTCTACATGTAATTATAAAAGTTACTATAGGAAACATATTTTGCAGTTTCAACTGTCTACTGCTGCAGAGGCTACTGCATAGATCTACTCAAAGAATTGTCCAAAAAGATCAACTTCACATACAGTTTAGCTTTATCTCCAGATGGTCAGTTTGGTAACTATCTGATTCGTAATGTGTCAGGCAGTGGTAAGAAAGAGTGGACTGGCTTAATAGGAGAACTGGTAGCAGATCGAGCAGCCATGATCGTAGCACCCTTAACAATAAATCCGGAAAGAGCTGAGTTTATTGAATTCAGTAAACCGTTTAAGTATCAAGGAATAACAATTTTAGAAAAGAAGGTAGGTTTAAATTTGACTACGTTAGTTGGCTAATTACCATGACCTCCATTAAATATACTATGTTACTAAGTTAATGCTTCTTTAATTTTTAAATTTAGTTTGTCCATTCTCTCATTTATTGGTTACCAATTTTTTATCTTTCATTCCTCGTTGTTTCACTCTGTTATTAATAAGATAAAAGTATATTACCATCTGGTCATATATTAAACATAACTCAACATGTATTGACTTCTCAAAGTCATTATGGAATGCTAACTTTATTAATTTTCTTACTTTTGCCTTTTGTGGGGTATGGCGGCCTACTTATATGATAAAACGATATATTTTGATATTTAATACCAATTAATATTTTAGCCATCAAGATCGTCCACACTTGTGTCTTTCTTACAACCTTTCAGTAACACTTTATGGATACTGGTGATGGTTTCAGTACACGTGGTCGCTTTGGTACTTTATCTACTGGATAGATTTTCTCCTTTTGGCAGATTTAAATTAGCAAATACTGATGGAACCGAAGAAGATGCTTTAAATCTCTCCAGTGCCATCTGGTTCGCTTGGGGAGTACTTCTTAACAGTGGTATAGGAGAAGGTAAATGTAACCAAAACAGAATTTTAGAGAAATTTAATATTTACATTACTGCTATTTATCAATAGAATCCAACAGATCTGTATAATATATTTTAGGAACCCCAAGAAGCTTTTCAGCTAGAGTTTTGGGAATGGTATGGGCAGGATTTGCCATGATTATTGTCGCCTCATACACAGCCAACTTGGCTGCTTTCCTTGTGTTAGAAAGACCGAAAACTAAACTTACTGGTATTAACGATGCTAGGGTAAAATTTCTAAACATCAAAGGTTCATATAAACTAAAAATGTTTTGTTTTAGTTGAGGAATACAATGGAGAATCTGACTTGTGCTACAGTAAAAGGATCATCTGTAGATATGTACTTTAGAAGACAAGTTGAATTGTCTAATATGTACAGGACTATGGAAGCCAACAACTATGATACTGCTGAAATTGCAATACAGGATGTCAAAGAGGGGTAGGATAATTTACAATTTTTATTGTATAAAAAAACACAATTTTTATTTATTTAAGCAAAAATACAATTATACTAAGGACTAAGGGCTTTTTTCCATCTATGCAAGCTGTCAGCACATCTACCACTGTTCGTTTATATTCTTTCTTATAGCATTGTCCATGTATTACGTGGCCAGTTCAAGCCTGGATTTTGATTTCTGATCTTTTTGGCATTTTTGAGCAATACAGGTCATTTGGTGCATTTCCTGGCGTGAGTAGCTCTCCCAGTGTCCTCTTTAGGAGTTGGTTGCACTGTAATGTTCATGATGGGTAGTTGGTGGTTAGCCTGAATTTTTCTATCTTCCTCGTAGTTTCGGCCGTGTGATGTGACTCAGAAAGAAAAGCTAATAGTTCCTGAGTTCATTTGCATTGACTGGTTTAATTGGGTGTCAACAATCTTGGTGAGTTAGCTATTGAGCCACACTGGCGAAGCATATTCAGCTGCCGAGTATAAGTTCCCCATTTTTGTTATTTACTTTCTTGTGTCCTTTAAATAATTGTTCCTTTTACTCTATGTTCCAGTACCGGATGGATCATTTCTTTTACTCAACTGCTCTGAATTTTGTAGGCGAATGCCAGGTTGATTTTCTCTTGAGAATTAATATTTTTGACACTAAAGTCTCTCTTATTACATATCCCTCCTAAGCTAGTCAGGAATTCATTATACAGCTCTTTTTTATTGAAATGAATGGTCAGATAATAAATTGAATAAATTGGATAAATTAAGTTCACAATTTTTAGTTATTGCACATACTGGAGTAGCTTTTATATGTGCAGTTTTATTCTTTGCTTTGATATATATTTTTGTTAACATTTTTAGGAAACTTATGGCATTTATATGGGACAGTTCCCGTTTGGAATTTGAAGCTGCACAAGATTGTGAGTTAGTTACTGCTGGTGAACTTTTTGGTCGCTCAGGATATGGAATCGGATTACAAAAAGGCTCTCCTTGGTCAGACGATGTAACTTTAGCTATACTAGATTTCCATGAAAGTAAGCATAATTTAAAAAGTTTCTATGGGCACAAAATTAAAACCACTAATTGAACTAACGATATTAAAGTTTATTTCCATTTTTAGGTGGATTTATGGAAAGTCTGGATAATAAATGGATTCTTCAAGGCAATTTTCAACAATGCGAACAGTTTGAAAAAACTCCAAATACGCTAGGTCTGAAAAATATGGCTGGAGTTTTTATTTTAGTAGGAGCTGGCATAGTTGGAGGCATCGGATTGATTGTTATAGAAATGGCATACAAAAAGCATCAAATTAAGAAACAAAAACGTATGGAATTGGCAAGACATGCTGCTGACAAATGGAGAGGAGCAGTTGAAGTAAGTTCAAAGTATTGAAAATATTTTGGTTATTCGAAGGCTTGATAAAAATATGTACCAAGCTTTCTTAAAATAATCATACGAATGTGCTGTCATAGTAGTATTAAAAAAAAAATCAATTTTAGAAACGAAAAACGCTTCGTGCTTCTTCTACCGCCCAGAGAAGAATAAAATCTAACGGAGTTAATGAAGCTGTAACAATTTCTCACGTATTTGATAAATTCCAACGAATAGGGCACTTGTATGGTTCTGAACGGACGTGGCCTGGAGATTCTGATGTCAGACAAAGAAGAATGGACGATGTTGGGGGAGTTCAGCCCGTTCCACGCTATTTACCATCCTACACGCAAGATGTATCTCACTTAATAGTTTAGAATAAATCTAAATGTTTACAAATTTAAAATAAATAAACGTTACATGTTAAAAACAAATAATCAACTTGGATAAAATAAAATAATTAAAATTAATACTTAAGAGTCACTCGTACAGTGTGGATATTAAGTCTTACCCCCCCCCCCCTAGTGAACTCCGTTATTTAAGGCAAAGATGAAAAACGCTCGGACCCGCCAATTTTTATTTTAATAGAGGTATTTATTCTATAACATAAAAAAATGTCACCCCTTTCATCCCCTTCACTTGACAGCTATCCCCTCAGATTTGTTAAATAGCAATGGGGGTCGTGCGATAGTTCGTTGGAAAGGGTTTGAAAAGAAGAATTCAAAAATGTAGAAGTTTGAAATTTTGCTTGGCATAATGAATTTATTTAAAATAAAATATACAAAAAATAATGTATTAAATTACATCTTTAAAATTAAAGGAACTGGAAAATTATCCTAAAGAAAACTTAAATTACTGCAGGAGATGCTCGAAATGTTTTCATTTACTTCCTGGCAGAAGAAGATTCTTTGTTTCATTGCCTCACTAGCCCTTTGTAGGGTCTGCATTACAATCACATTACATTCTTCGATTATTTTTTGACGGAGTTCATCAAGTGTCGTCAACTGGCTCCCATTCTTCTTCTTACGGTGCCTTATCCTTAAGGACGTTGGCCATTACATTTGCCCATTTAATCTTATTTGTAGCAGCCCTGAATAGTTCTATGGAGGTCATGTTCGTCCATTGCCGTAGGTTTTTAAGCCAGGAGTTGCGTCTTCTTCCTGGTCCTCTTTTGCTATTGACTTTGCGTTCGATTATAAGTTGGAGCAGTTCATACTTCCGATTTCTTATGATGTGACCAAAATATTGTGTTTTCCGTTCGTTTATTATAAGTATAAGCTCTCTTTCCTTATTCATCCTCCGCAAGACTTCCGCATTTGCCGTATGGTTCGTGTAGGATATTCTGAGCATTTTACGGTAACACCAGAGTTCGAATGCTTGGATTCTTTTTGTGTTGCTTCTGTCATTGTCCAGGCTTCAACACCATAGAGCAAGGTGGATAATATGTATCGGACCGGTTGTAAATAATAAACACAGTATAGGAAATACTACCGACTTTAATGATCACTCCAAAACGTAATGCAAATAACAATATACATTAAATAGGTCATCGTCGCGTCTGTATTCCTGAGTGTTTTCCCAGCTGATTGTGACGTAACCGCACTGCAGGGTTGCCAATACATCACACTCCTCCCTCCTGGATGAATCTACTCATCATAGTCCTCCAAATACCTTGGAGGTTTTCTTATTCGAGCAGGTGGCTTTTTAACTTCAGCGGCGTGCTCTACAATTTCTGGTTCTTGGTCCACAAATTCGTTGGGATGCAGAAACAACGGTTGCGGAGTTACGAGTAATTTTTTTTCCATCGAGGTTGACGGTGTAACTTCGTCTGTTGTTTCTTGGTCACACACACGGGTTCTGATTTGGTCAGAATGACGACGTAAAATTTTACCATCTGGGGTTTGAACTTTGTAGCTTAACGGTCCAGTGGTTTCAATTATTTTGGAAGGAAGCCACTTTTGACCACCTGGAGCAAATGACCTTGCAAATACAGTGTCGTTTTCTTGAAAACATCTGGGTACTGTTTTGTAAGAATCGTTCATCTCTTGCTTAGATAACATCTCTTTTCTAAAGTCGGGCTGTAAACGATCAAATAATGAGCCCAATTTTCTCCCCATTAATATTTCTGATGGGCATCTCCCTGTTGTGCAATGGGGTGTAATGTGCTGAGTAAGGAGATATCTGTGCAATGCTAACTGTATTTTAGTTTCTTCATTACTATCTGTCATTTTTTTAAGTGCATTTTTTACATTTTGTACCATGCGTTCCGCTTGCCCATTACTACTTGGATGGTATGGTGCAACCAATGCTTGTCTAATAAGGTTTTTCTTTAAAAAATCTTGAAACTCAGCTGACGTAAAACAAGTTCCGTTATCAGATACGACGACATCTGGGATGCCGTGAGTGGCAAATAAACCCCGTAATACATCTATAGTCACAACACTAGAGGTATTTGGAACGATTTTAACCTCCAGCCACTTCGAGTACGAGTCTATGATAATCAGAAACATTTTGCCTTTAAATGGACCGGCAAAATCGAGGTGTATTCTTGTCCATGGAGCTCTGGCCCACTCCCACGGATGGATTGGAGCCTTTTTTGGCATGTTTCTAGACTCCTGGCACTCGCTGCATGTATTTACTAGCTGTTCGATTTGTTTGTCGAGATTTGGCCACCAAACATATGAGCGTGCCAGTGACTTCATTTTTACGATTCCGGGGTGTGCTGAGTGTAGCAAATTCAGTATTGTTTTCCTCCCTCCTAGTGGAACTATTACCCTTGTACCCCATAACAGGCAGTCTTGATAACAGCTAATTTCGTTTTTACGTAGTAGATAAGGAGTATATTCGTCTGAAAATTTAATTTTCTCATCAGGCCAACCTTTCCAAGCCCACTGCAAAACTTTAGATAACACTGGGTCTTTCTTAGTCTCATTGGCAATGTCTTTGGCACAGATTAGTTTTTCTGGGATGTTCTCAAGCATCAAAACGTCATCTGAGCTTGGTGGTTCTGGCGCATGTACCTTTTGTGGCAATCTGCTAAGAGCATCTGCATTCTGAATTTTTGAACCTGGTACGTAACATAATTCATAATCATAAGCAGATAACATAAGAGCCCATCTAAGCATTCTGGGTGACAGTATCTCTGGAACACCCTTTTTCGGATTAAAAATACCCAACAATGGTTTATGGTCCGTTCTTATGCCTATTTTCCTGCCATATACATATTCGTGGAATTTTTTAATGCCCGATATTATGGCCAGTGCTTCCTTGTCGATTTGGGAGAAATTTCGTTCAGTAGATGATAGAGTACGACTATGGTACGCCACTGGATATTCACGTCCTTCATCATCACGTTGACTAAGCACACAACCTACCCCGTAAGGACTGGCATCACACGTCAAAAATAAATCTTTTTGTTCATTGTAATGCCCTAACACAGGTTCTTTCGCTAAAATTTCTTTTAGTAAATCGAAAGCTTTTTGTTCTATAAAACGCCACTGCCAGGGAACGTCTTTTCGGAGCAGTGCATGTAACGGATTCGCAATTGTTGCTTTGTCCTTTAGAAAAACATGATAAAAATTTAAAAGTCCAAGAAAAGCTTGCAACTCGGTTTTATTGGTTGGCGCAGGCGCATTAGTTAGGGCCGCGATTTTGTCTTTAGTGGGGCGTAAACCGTCTTCACTAATTTGAAAACCGAGAAACTCTATAGTTTTTGTTCGAAAAACGCACTTTTCTTTGCGCAAATGCAGTCCGTCTTCCTGGAAACGCGATAATACCGCGCGCACTTTTGAATCCAAGTCGGTTTCTGAGCGACCAACTATTAAAATGTCATCGTAATAAGGTAGTACACCAGGAATACCCGTTAATCGAGTGTCTATGAATTTTTGAAAAATTTGTGGAGCCACTGATATACCGAACTGTAAACGATTGCATTTAAAAGCTCCTTTATGCGTAATTATTGTTTGTGCTTCAGCAGCTTCGCGGTTGACACTTAACTGCAGATAAGCTTGCGCCATGTCCAGTTTTGCAAAAACTTTACCGCCCGCAAGTGTGGATAAGATACCCTGTACCGATGGCACTGAATAAGGTTCCGGATTTAACGCTAAATTCAATGTGGATTTGTAGTCACCACAAATCCTAACCTCACCGTTTTCTTTGCAAACAGTCACAATTGGGGTGCACCATTTTGGGTGCGTAATCGGCTCTAAAACCCCTTTCGCAATAAGCCTGTCCAGTTCAACTTCGATTTTATCTTTTAGCGCAAATGGAACTTTACGAGCTTTACACATAACCGGCTTTACATTTTTGTCCAACGAAAAACTTACTGGGGGACCCCGGTAAGACCCCAAATCTGTATTAAATACATCTGGGTATTCTTCTGTATAATTTATCATTGATAAAATTTGACTTACCCCAGCTATGGTTAAACCTAAACTATCAAACCAGTTTCTGCCGAGTAGACTGGCACGATTTCCTTCCGTGACTATGAGAGGAAGTGTCGCTGATCTTGGACCTCTCTTCACCTCCACTTGACACTTACCCAGTGTGGGTATCACTGTGTTTTGATAGTCCCCTTAAAATAACACTGGATTTATCTATTTTAGGTCGATTTTCACTAAAGATTTCATGGTAGGTTGATTTGCTTATCACTGAATAACTCGCGCCCGAGTCAACCTCCATTTTTACCTTTTGGTCATTGAGTAGCACATCTACTAAATATTTACCGGTAATGCTATCAGACGTCACGTTATTTAACGTAAATTCATAGTCACTACTTTGATAAAAAACACTCTGAGTGTTCCCCGAAACCGGCTCGGTATTGGACGTAGATTCCACGGTAGTCTGATGTACTTTGCGTTTGTAATTTTGGTTCTTCTTTTTTGCAAAACAAGCTATTTCGATGTGTCCAACTTTCCTGCAATATGCACAGGTTGATTTAATGTGTTCACAAGTTTCGGGAGAATGTTCTTTTTCGCACCGAAAACATTTCTTCCTTTCGCGATTAGCTAATTGTTTGAACTGGCCCGGTTGATTTTTACGAAAACTTACCGCGTTTACATCTGCGCTCGACTCAGTTTCTCGTAGAACTGCCAAACTTTCCACGGCCACCTCGTGTGCAAGGCACAGGTCTTGCGCGTCCTTAAGTTTTAACTTATCTGTGGCTAGCAACTTTTGCTGTAGCGATTCGTCGGTAATACCACAAACGAGTCGGTCACGTAGCATTATGTCAAGGCTAGTTCCGAAACCACAGGGTTCTGCCAATTTTCGTAATTCCTTCAGATACACAGATATTGTTTCACCAGTCTGTTGATTCCGACGATAGAACTTAAACCTGCACACAATTTCCGACGTTTTTGGAGAAAAATGCTTTTTTAAT